AATAAAATATATTATATATACTATTATTAGACATAGTCAGTATGTAGAAAGTACTTGGCATTGAAAATAAAGGGCATAAGTTCTTATTATTTTCTTAGGAACTTTTTCTTGGAAACTGAGGTGCTGGATGCTTGTACAAGATATAGAATCAGTAAACAGATATTTTCTTGAGAGGCTAAGAGGTGGGGCAAGGAATAACCTTACATACAGCAGAATAACAGATATAAGTACAGATAGAGAAAGATCAAAGGCATGTCTGTAATTGTTATTTTGTAAGGATAGCTCTGCCTTCCTGAGTTTACAGAAATTCCCCTGATACCGGAGAGGTCCTTAGGAGATAACATGTTCTGTTTTCAATTAAGCTAATTAATTAGCAGGGACACATGACCCAGAGGTTAGGGTAGGGACAGGATCATCTGTCAGTTAGCTGATGGCTATCTGTATATGTAGGTCTGGAGTGGTCCCTTGGAATATTTGTTCCTGTTGTCATCACACTCTTATGATAAGGGCTATACCTACTGAGAGAATAGCCCAACATGTGTCCAACCTGCCTAAGAAGGCCACCCTAAGGGACCAAGGTAAAGTGGTCTTCTTGGATAGGTGGTCTTCTTGGACATGTTGCTCTCAATGCTTGCACCTATGGAAAAATAATGGTCACGTGGTGACTGAGAAAAGGTTATTGTAGTCAGGTGGTTGGCTCAAAGAGGTTGATGTTTAGGCAGGCTTGATTGTGCATAATAATAGTTTACAAACTTGAAGGTACTTTAGCATCACTTCATCTTTGTAGTTAATTAATTCTAATCAACAAGCTGTTATTGTACAATGTTGTACAAAAACTCACCAACACATAAAGGGAGTCCTCAAAAGCTTTAACTCCCTACATATACATGTACATAGCCACTTATCTGCAGGATCAGTGTGGATTATGCAGTTTCCTCCCGATGGGCTGACAGACTTAAACCTGACAAGCCAACTGCTACTCTTGGCACTCTCCTCAAAACAGCCCAGACATTCAGATAATGAAATTCTTGAATCCATATCTTAATTCTTCCTTTCCTAGAAGACTGTGGGTCTATTCCGATAATCATATTTCTTGGAACTTGCCAGACTCATAGATGGAGCAAACCAACATGTCGTTCTTTTGAAATTAATTTGCTTTTAGTATTGCTTTTAGTAAACAGCATAGTCTGTCAGAAAAGAGGTAACGTTACATGTAATACTTGTAGCTTACTTTCAATTCAAGATACTCAAAATAAACAGGGGTCTATAGTGGGAACTGTTCATTGCTGTTATCAGTTGACGTCAGTGATTCCCAGTCTGTCATGACTCACCCCCTAACTATGCCAGAAGGGTCCCAGATCTTCTCCCTCTATCGTGACATGTTTTCTCCAACTCCTGAAACCCGAGGCTTCATTTTTTCTGATATCAGACTCTTTCTAAGGCCCGATTTAGACTAGAAACGGTATACCGTTTCGAAACGGTACGAAACGTTTCGCCACAGAAAACGGTTCGTCTTTAGACACAGAGGCGGAAGTGTTTCGGGCCGCCCGTGGCGCAGGATGTTTCTGACCCACAGTGACCTATGATGACCTCCCCGAGCCACTTCTACGGTTTGCCTCATTGGCCTTACGATACTTGTGTTTCAGGGCCTTGAACTTCGCCCGAACCTGCTTTGGGGTGCATAAATACCCCTCAGCCGCCAGCCCGTCCACAAGCATCTGTATGCCCTCCCTATATTTACGCGAGGTCTCCAAGCGGGATTGTATAGTATGATCGGCCCACAAGATGATCAAGCAGCGGGTCTCATCTTGGGTCCAGACCCTCCCCTGGCCTTCTCCCATCCCTCCAGACGTAAAGGATGACGAAAATTCGAGAAATACATTATAAAATGGCGAAAATGGACACAATCAAATATGGCGCGAATCTACCAGATAAAGGACGTGCGCGGGCTTATTAGCATGTGATTAGCATATGACATGTGACCTGGTTTACCGTTTCAAGAAACCCTTTGTCTTTAGACCTAGCAAAAAGCGTTTCGGGCCCCCCGCTGAAGGGTTCTGAAACGGTCGAAAACCACGATGGAGGTGGTTTTCGGAAACGGTCCGCGAAAACCCATAACAAACCGTTTTTTCCTCTTTAGACCGGGAACGGTTAACCGTTCCGAAACGTTTCCCTGGCCAAAACCCCTTAAGCGTTTCTAGTCTAAATCGGGCCTAAGAATAGGAGGGGAGAAAAACATTCTGATGAATGTCAAGCTACTAGAAGATAAATCACTTTCTGTTGTCAAACTAAGTAATTATCACTTGGAAGGTATCTGTTTATTTGTTTATTAGAATTTTCCATAAATATACAAGTGGAAGGGTCAGGGCAAAACAGGTGTATTAACACCTTTTCAAGTATACAAACTGGCAGCTAACATAACTTCAGTAGCATTGAGCAAAAACATACAACACAATAATTAAGAACTAAAAGCAGCCAAAAAATGTCCTCAACTGACTAAGAGGTGAAGCATGATGCTTTTTAAGAACAAAATCATAAACAGTTGTACCGAAATGTCAGTGAAGGTTACCTGGAGTCACAAAAGAATGTTTTGAATATATAAGATTACTACTTTGCAGAACTATGCTTTGAAGTCTAGGGAAACACTTTGCACTTTTCCACATCTGTCCTCAACATGTTTGCAAGCTGGGCACGTTCTTCACTCTAACAAAGGTCTCATCAACTTCAACTAGAGCTTGACTCTTGAGCTCAACCTTGTTCTCCTTACAACTCATTTCTTCCAACAGTTTCTAGTAAACTTTACCATTCAAAGTTATTTATTTATCCTCTGTAGAAACATTTACAATGTAGGAGACAGCTTTTCTTTAGATAAATATCTGCTTGACATGTTTTGCAACATCTTCTCTGAGACTTTGGCCGAAGTGTCTATATTTGAAAGATTTACATAACGGCAAGACTGTCACTGATCTGGTGTTGGAAGATTTGCTGCCATGAGCTGGTCTCCAACAACAATGGTGGCTCTGCCAAGAGCACATACCTTCCCACTGGTCACAGCAAATATATGAGGGCCTGCAAGGGGGTGGGGGGGTCCCGACAACGCTCTATGCTGAATTCGGAAACCTCCCGATTATGCTTTACGATAAATTCCAAGTGGCTACAACGCATTACGTAGAATTAAAACGCCGATTACGCTCTACGGAAAAGGGCACGTGGGCCCCCCTTAGAGGTTACAGAGTCTGACTGCTACATGTCAGCTCTGTTACTGTCAAAACCTGGTGCGAAAGAAGACCACTCATGGGATTGATAAAATCTGGTCTATGTGGACAGGTGGTTGCTATAGACAGGGTTCTTCATGCTTGTGTCAGTGGAAAAATTATTGAAGGGACCACAAAAAAGTTGTCATATTGGCCTGGCCTGGCCTCTGGTTACCTGTTTTGAAGCCTGTATGATTTCCAATGAAAAAACAAACATCCCAGCAGCTAGGACAGGGCTGGTCAAAACATGACATCATGAAATAGATGTGTTCCAGAGAAGTCTGTCACAGACTTTATTTGGAGGAAGCCTCAGACATAAACAGTTATTGTAAGCCTTTAGGGTTGATGTTGTTCAGACACAGATGTATTTTTTTGTGTAGATCATGTAATTAATCTCGTATGGAAATCTATATATAACCTCCATTTCTCCACCGGATTACACATATTCACCACTAAGAAAACGGTGTGTTTGAGAGATCTCTAGTGCAGCACTCCCAGGTATGCACAGTTTACATATGCAGGAGTGCAGCATATTGAGGGCAATTTGCATTGGACATCTGTTAAGATGCATTTTTAAGGCCTGCATGGGGGGGGGGGGGATTACGAATTACGCAAAATTTTTGCCACTGATTATGAACTACGTTAAAGTCTCAGAGCTGATTACGACTTTAAGCTTTGCGGCTAATGTACTGTTACGAATTACGTTGATTTTTGGGGAGGCTGCCTACAGATTACGAAGACCAAACAGGCCTGATTACGCCTTACGAAAAGGGAATGCAGGTCCCCATTTTTCCCGCGTGGCAGATATATGTGACCTGCCAGAATTGTGTTAGTAGCCAGTATTACTTTTAAAGATTTAAGGCTTATGCAGAAGCAACCTGAAGCCACAACTTTGACATTCAGTACCTCGGATATGCAGGGGTGCATTATATACTAGGGGATGTTGTTTAGTAGATCTCTTAAGCATTTTACCAGGCTGACTGATAATAAATTACATCTGTATGCGACCTGGCGGAATACTTTTTGTAGATGTTACTAAGACTTAAGGCTTTTACTCAGGCAACCTGAAGCTCACATCTTTGACATTCAGTACCCTGGCCAGTAACAGAACCGGAGTGACATCATCTGTGGCACTCTGCCAAAGTCTGTTTCCATTTTACAGTAAGTCAGACAGTCAGGCAGAGACAGTTGAAGATTCCCATAGTTGTTTACTGCTCATTGCCAAGTTCACATTCCTGCATCAGGAGTCAGCGGTAAATTTCGGAGGCCTGACACCTGCTGTTTTGGAGGCTTCCGTACACATGCTGATAGATGGATCTGAGAGTCGTCTATTCTTTCTGCGTCACAAAATTTCTTGCCTTATGCAATGTAAAGTAAAATGCCCAATGTACTGCCCAAGAAGACCACTCAGAGGACTTATAAAATCTGGTCTATGTGGACAGGTGGTCACTATAGGCAGAATTCTAAATGCTTTTGTCAATGGGGAAAGTTATCTAAACGGACCAGCAAAAAAATGGTGGCTGACACATTGGCCAGGTGGTTGACTGTATGTATTGTGATATGTATTTCCTGGTTTAATAAATAAACAAACAAACAAACAAATGTTATGCCATATGATGAATGCATTTTGCCGGCCGGCAGGGAGCGGACGAAAGCTAACAAGGCTGACACTCAGGCTAAGATACATGTACACATGAATTGTTGAAGCATCACATTTATGGTCATGCATTTCTCTGTTTTGTCCAGGGCCGGTCGTGGGGAGTTGGCCTCCATGAAGGACCAGCTGACCTTGGAGGTGGGGTACCATTCCGACCAATCAGAGCGCAGATCGCCTGCCGGGCACTCGGATGTCTCCACTCCTGACCAATCAGTGTCAAGCGGATGCAGTAAGTACACAACATCTTTTTTTTTACCCTTTTTATTCCTTTTTTTTAACAACATATGGCATCAAATGGCCTGGCAAGCAAACGTGATCCAGAGGACACAAGTTTGATTCCTGGCATTACTCGCTAGATGTTGTGTTCTTGGGAAAGGCACTTTACACAACTTTCCTCACTCCACTCAGGTGTAAAATGGTTAGGGAGGACTACTAGTAGTACATGTAAAGGCAGTGGAAAGAGAGGGATGGGCTCCACCTTCCAATACTGTGTCCTAGACATAGTGGATCAACAAGCCAGTCCCTACAGTCTCAAAAAGGCTATGGGACTACCTTTACCTTTTACATCCTTTAAACCTTGTACGGGTACGTTTTATAATAAATAAAAGGAAATAAAAGGTTAAGCTGGCCTGACTCTCCTGGTACATCGAGAGTACGCACCGATTAAATGTGATCTCCTAGAGACACTTCCAGCATCATACAAGCACATTAGTCACCAAGAGCTATATAAAGTTGCCCCTGAACTGAACCAAGCACAAACCAGCACCAAGAGACCACATCTAGCAAGAATATTAGACTTTAAACAATGACAACAACAACAACTGTCAATCACCACCCTCCCGATGGTCAGTCCCGCGTCCAGGATGACCGATGACCAGTCCAGGTTTGCCGCCCTCTCCTTCAGCACACAATAGCCTGCGAACACTGTAAATTCAGGCTGTGAGCAGGCTGACAATAGTCCGGCTCCCCAGGCGCAGTGCCCTTTGGGCTAACCGCTGAGCTCGGCACAAAAGAGACGCTCCAACCTTTGTGTAACTTTGCAGTTTTGTAAAACCAGGGACGCTACCGTCTTTTCAACAAAACAAAGTTCTCTTGTCTGACCTAGATATGTCACCGCTAAGATGGATCAAGTCTAAATTCTACTCTGGACGACTTTTAGTTTCTGGACTTGGTAAGACTTTATGTAACCTGTATCTTGTTACGTATAGTATCTGACCCTGACCTCTTCCCTTATATTATAATCTCAATAAAAAAGGGCCAATTTGAGTAATTTATGAATAAACACAGGCTCAAACAAACAAGATAATGATTCAAAGCAACCTTTGACCAAGAGATTGTATATCACAAGCCAATGCCAAAAGTCTGTAAAAATTCCATCTCTAAAGTTTGATTCAGTCTTTTGCGATCTACTAATATGATGATGAGAATTCCTCTACTTTTCTTGTTACCTTACATCTGAAAAGCTCAACAAATTGTGTCAATTTGCTTTGAATAAAATTATACTTTTGGATATTCTAAAACAGCAAATATCAATTAATAAGTTCTCAGAAATACACTGCTAAAACAGTTGTTCCTTTGCCCCAGTTGTAAACTACCTAATTTTCTAGAAGTAAGTGACCATAGAGAGGAGGTGGAACATAATCAGATAGCCGTGGCTCCTGGTAATCCCTTACATTGTGCTGGTTCAGGGTTACTGAACCTTCTAACACAGAGACAATAGCCCGGCACTCCAGGCATCAAACAACACAAAAGCCTGGAACTAGCCCAGACAATAGCCCGAAACCACAGGCAACAGCCGAGGTGACAGCTGAAGAATGACCTGTCACAACTTTTGTGTCAACTGTCACAATCGTCTGGGTGGGGGAGGAAAAATTCTTCATCAGAACCTTTGGGAGTTGTTTTTTCCCCTTAAGACTTTCCTGTAAAACAGAACGCAATACAAAATGGCTCGCATATTTAGCCAAGCACACCGGGTCACACCTAGCCTCTACTGAAGCTTTGGGAAGCAGATGGAAAGAGGAGAAATTGACTAAATAAACATCTATGATAAGCCAGGGGTGTTGGTAAGAGTACAGTTTGCTCACAGTGCTAAAAGTACAACTCCTCTGTCTATTTAGTCAATTTCTCCTTTTTCCAGCCACTTTCCTAAGCCTGGTAGAGGCTAGGTCACACCTACTCTTTTTTACAGGTGTGTTGGGTTTTTTTAACAGTCTTACATGAGCTCTAAGCAGGTGGGAGTAACATACTGTGGAAGTTCAATACTGTAGCATCTTTTGTACACAGATGTGCTATTTTAACCAACTCGGAATGTCAAAGGCTTTTAGATGACAGGAAAGTTTTGCTACATTCTTGCCTGCTTTAGACTTTTGAGACTTCTGTTTCCGAAGTTAAGAAAATAAATCCAACATTTGGTTTAGGTTGTCTTTAGGAATGTGACCAGACAACAGTAAGAAGTACTACTGTACAGTAACATCTTTTGTACAAAAAGATGCTATTTTAAGCTGTAAGAATCCTAAAAAAACTCGGAATGTCGAAGGCTTTTAGATGGCTTTCAGTTGCTACATTCTTGCCTATTTGAAACTTTTGAGATACCTGTTTTCAAAGTTAAAAAAATAAATCCCAAGGTTGTTTGAGGTTGTTTGAAGGAATGTGAACCAGACAACAGACGTGTGTAAGATGTGAGCTCACAGCTGACGCAGCTTCAGCACAAATAAACCGTCCTCGGTTTCCACAGGTTAAAACAACACATGGTCCTGCCAAGTACAACATCCGACGTTATGGTGTTGATGTTATCGGAAAAAGTTAACCAAACAGGTCGTTTTTCTTACCAGATTTATAAAGTAACCTCCACGTACATCACTTTTGACATTGGCATTCCAAACTTGTATTTTTCTCTTATCTCATAAATTCAGTATTCAAAACTAAACTTTCTGGTTACAAATTGGCACATTTCTGGTTAAATTTCACTTACATGTAAACCTGACTACAGGATGTGCAATTGTAATGTATAAGACTGAGACTAAACTCATATATATATATATATACTATATTAGACAATTCAAACTCTACTACTGAACAAATTACTGAGATTTACTTCTGGATGTTTCGAGTGACACCCATCACCTCTTCTGCCCCGAGATTTTAACATTTGCACACTCCATATTTTGCATACAATGCATTTCAAATTTTCCCTACTCTTTGCACAGGAAAATTGAAGCAAACATTATTGTGTAAAACTAGCATTTTTCTTCCTCCATCCCTTTGTACTTAGAAGGGATTGATGGATGGATGGTTGGTAACTTGGGAATTGAGAACAATCCAAAACCACTCATGTCTGTATACACTTTCATAAAATATCTTTAATTGCCTTCGTCTGAGAAAATCAAACCTTTACAGCCTACCATGTTGGGAAGGCCAACAGATGTTCATGTTTTATGCATATTTTTTCCGGCCGCCCAAAACAACAAAAGACTCATTGGCAAAGGTTAGAACTTTTGTTGGACTTCCAAAAAATTTGTCTTCACCTATTTGCATATCAATCAATAGTTCGTGCTTATAAACCTGCATTTCTCCTGCAGTCTCTTAGTGTCACTGACGAAAGGTTGTGGATGCTTCCTGAAACGTCAGACCATTTCCAAAATCATATCCAGTTGCTTGAGTAACTGCTTTTTTGCGTAACAAAAGACTCGCCACTCCAAGATGGATCGCGTGCGTTCCCCACCACTGACCCTCCCGCCCTGGAAAACTGACCCGGAATTGACCAAATTCCCCATAAATTTTCCCGGCATTGTTCCTGGCACGTCCCGGCCCCAGCGGTTTCCATGGATACAGACCAGTTGCCATGGTTACGCCCACTCTAAATTGGTCATCAGGGGTCGGAGAGAAAGGGCAGCTAAAATTGATTTTCCAGATTTCGGGTGAAAAATTGGGAGCAGGAATCCCGCCATTATGGATGCCTCCCCAGGCAATCACCTCTCGCTGTTTCAGAGTGCTTAAACTGTTCTTTATAATGTACCTGATTGTTGCATCAAAACTACAAAGAAGTTTGACAGGTGTCAGTCTTGCATACAGGACATTTTCTTGGATGGTTTCTTGGTTTCCAAGAAAACGTTGTGTATGATCTATGAAGATTCTTTCATTGAATACCAAGTAGAGTTATTGTTACAGTGATTTTTAGAAACTTCATACGCAATTAGTGCAAAGTTTAGGTTGCCATTTCTTCCACAAAATCTTTACCATGAAAATATAAGCAAAAAAAACAACAATGTCTTCCCATCTAGAGAGTTTTCTCAGACAAACCAATATAATCCTATGTTTTTATCTTTATGTGGCACCAGTTAATGTTGGGAAAATACTAATTTCTGCAGAAATTGGATGACATCAAAGCAGGCAATGAACAAAGGAGGGCACTTGAGACCTTTCATCAGAGTTCAGCTTGTTATTTCTGCCTTTTGTACAGACTTCTCTCAGAACACAACAAAAAGGTTCAAAGGAAACAAACTGCCCATTTCCTATGTCTGCTCTCGGCTTGCCCTGTTTTCAACAGAATGAACATAGTGTGAATGACTGGTAACTCAAGATCGGTGACCCTCTAACCAAAAATGTACCGACTTGAAAAAGCATCATGTTTTTGGTGATCCTCTACCCAAAAATGTACAAAGTATCAACATGAAATTAAAAGTGTCATGCCATCAATTAGGGGGACGAAAGAAGAAAAAATATCTGTATGATTGTATAATATATATAATTGTGTATAAGTGGTGTAGCTTATTTATTGACAACATTTTCTTTTGTCTCTTTACCAGGTGAGGAACAGTTGTTCAGAGCAGTGGAAGGGAGAGCAGGTAAGACACTCTTTTTCTAATTTTGTTTCTTTCTCCGATATTTGTCAGGACTTGATATGATCTTTCACTGCAGTTTTAAAGCAAGTTTATACTGAGTTTTGAATGGAACAACTCTTTCTGAGTGTGTAATCTTATAGAATGGGTTCTATGATGAATGTATTAAAAAAACAATGTTACCTTTTATGTAATGAATGGAAGTATTAGATTTTGCCAAAGATAAATTGGCCTTGTAACAAAAACAAACATTGAAACCTCATTTCTGTTTGCTTTGAATGATGCCAGCTGAGCACTATTTAAAGTTCATCACTAAACCAAGGACATTAATGCCCTTGACTAAACAAACTCTTCTCCTTTCTCTCCCCTGGTCCAGCCTCGGATGATGGTAACGCCTGGGTGGAGAAGCGAGGGATGGAGGGAATGGAGGAAGAGGAGGAGGAGGAGGATGTACAGAAGATGAGTATGGAGAAGCTGGCTGCGTGTGTGGAGCAGCTCAGATACAGGCTGAAGGATGCTGAGGGGGAGAAAATCACAGTGGAGGAGCAGCTCAATGAGGTATTTATAATACACTATATACATTTAATATAGTAATAACTAATGCAAGTGTCTTATAGTAAACAATAAAAAAAGATTAGCCTCCGTAGCAGGCTTATAGAACTGAGGGTTTGGTGGTCTTCGGCTGTTTTCTGATTAGCCTAGTTCTCAAAAAACGGGGGTAATTCAACCAGGCCGGCTATGTTGTCTATATGCAATCAGAAAATAGCATATAAAAGCTCCTAAAGACCCTGAAGACTCCCAAAAACCCTAAACTACTCAATAAATGAAGAAAATATTTACTTTACTGATGAATAAAAATAATGACCAAACCCTCACACCCCCAGATATTGTATGTAAATAATCTCGATTGCAGAAAAAAAACGTCCATTGTGTGGCAACTCTCAGAGGACAAGAAACATTTAACCCATTATGCAGCAAAATAATGGTCAAAATTTTCCCAGCCAACTGAATGTACATCATTCATTCTAACAAAACATCATCATGTTCCCCTTTGCAAATTGGACCCAGGCTATGGCTGTGTAGAGGAACAGCTCAACGAGGTAGTTATTGGATTTATCAGTTCTAAATCAGAATATTATAATATTTAGTTTAGGCCAAAATGAATTGATACGGTGGATGACATACACAGGTGCAGCACTTTTTGTTACTTCTTCTACAAAAATTTCAGTAAATTGAACATTGATTAAGCTGTGGCAAAATATTTCAAGTTCAAAATTCTTCCAAGTTTTCCAGTCAAAATAGATGTGAAAGAACAAAAAGAAAGCATTCATTATTTGGTAATTTACAAGTTCTTGTGTGTTCAGTCATTTGAACATTATGTAAATGATCTCAATTTCAGAAGATATAATGTCCTTTGTGTGGCAACTCTCAGAGGATAACAAATATCTAGCCCATTATCCAGCAACATAATAGTAGTCAAAATTTTCCCAGACAACTGAATCTACATCGTCCATTCTAACAAAACATCATCATGATGTTCCCCTTTGCAAATTGGACCCAGGCTATAGCCTGTAGCCCCACTGACATCTGTCCCCAAAACATCACTTTAACTTTTCCTTCAGACAGTGTTATGAAAAAATAATAAGAACCATGTAGAGACTTTCAGATGCTTTTTAAAAGCTTTTTTTAGACATTTTGATGGACTTTCATTTTTGTCAGGAGCTCCTCTTTAGGTGTCCTAGCCTGGCAAGTTCTACAATTAAACATCTAAAAAGCTAATTAAACGAAAAGCAAATGTCAGAAAACAGCCGTCTAATCTCTGCTTGGAGAGTATTATCTGTCAACAATCAGTACAAGCTATTTCTATCTGTAGCTTGCCTATGTAGTATTGCACATTTGCGCAGACTACAATTATCATAGTAAACAGTTGAACACAAACAGCCAGGCTGTACATTGTATGTGAAGAACATGTCTGAACACACAGTCTAAAAAAAAAAAAAACACATCCGAACACAAGCTGAAGTCTGCTTGGACTAGTTGGAGAGTACAATGTATTTCTTGCTATAGCCTTGCAGAGCAGTTACATCTGTTCAGACTAACAACAGCAAACAGTTGAACATAAGACCAGAACATGACTATACACACTACTGTTGAACAAAGGCTCATGGGTGGTCTGTAGCGGTGAAACGTTCCCGAGCGCTCCAGCCGGCCTGCCTGCAGCCTTTGTTGCTGCAACAAGCCCAGGATTTAGCCGCTGTGGTTTGTTTTTGTTGAGGGAAGCTTTCAAACAATAGGAAAAATGTATCCCGCTCGTGTTTACAACGTTTGCCGGCTTCAGGGCTGAGGAATTGTTCAGGTTGTAAATTGGGATTCCTCCATGCATGAAGAAGAAACATTCTGTTTCTAGAACTAATTTTGGAATTTCTACCTAAAAGCATATCATGGTACTAGGAACAGACAGATTGTCTTCAGGATGTTTGAAAACAGAACAATTCATAATATGTTGGAGGTCTAAATCTCTTTGTGTATACAGTAAAACCTGTACAAGTTACCACCTCTACATACATAAAGACTACCAGCATGGCCAATGTGACCACTTTTTGATGATCCCTTAGACTAAGATTTTCTTTCCATTGACACAAGCATTGAGATTCCTGTCTATAGTGACCACCTGTTCACAAAGACCAGAGTGGTCTCCTTGGGCAAGTTTGACTGTACAATACTGTATAGTGCAACTCTACAATGATTTTGGTCAATCACTGAGTTTTCGGGAATATGAGGCTTTTTTGGGTGTACCACACTATACAATGTAACAATGGCAAACAATTGTACAAACTTTAAGATAACATTATCTTGAAAGTTCATCTGTGTTCACAACTTGGTAGAAGTCACAATGCAGCAGTTTAAACTGTAATTTCCAACACAAGAGATTTGGACTTACCCAAAAAAAAGCAACTCCCGTCCTAGTCAAGGAAAGATGTATGTAAAGAATATACTGTAATTCACTTTATGTTCATGGTAGCAAAATTTCACGGTCTGAGAAAAGTGGACAAGTTCACGGAACTATGTATTCACAGTGGGGACAGGTGCAGGAAAAAGACAGTCCAGGAATTATTTGTTAACTGTAATGATAAGTTCACGGTACAGAAGTGACAGTGAAAACAGTGAACATAACACAATACCGTGAAAAGATCAGGAATTACAGTATTTACAAAGCATTATTTTATTGTCTCCCCCCAGTTTAAGAGCGAGGTTTTGATGGAGCTCCACGAGAAGTCGACGGACATCGACAAGATGCAGCTGGAGCTCCGTTGCCTGGAGACGGAGAGAGTCCGCCTGTCAATCATCGAGGAAAAACTCATCGACATCCTGGCCGTCATGAGGACACTGCGCCTCATGGTATGTAAGCGCCTCCTGGCAGTTTAAGTTTGAAGTGCAGCATTGCCTCTGGCAATATTTTATGTAGTACTAGTTTAGTAGCTCACATGTCAATAATTGAGGAGAAACTGATCGACATCTTGGCTGTCATGAGGACACTGCGCCTCATGGTACGTAAGCGCCACATGGCAGATCTAGTGCGAAGTGCAGCATCGTCACTGGCAATGTTTTATGTAGTAATAGTTTAGTAGCTCACATGTCAATTATTGAGAAACTGATCGACATCCTGGCCGTCATGAGGACTCTGCGCCTCATGGTACGTAAGCGCCACCTGGCAGTTTCAGTTTGAAGTGCAGCAATGTTGTATGTAGTACTAGGCTAGTAGTGCGAATGTCAATCATTGAGAAGCTGATTGACATCCTGGCCGTCATGAGGACACTGCGCCTCATGGTACGTAAGCGTTACCTAGCTGGTCAACTATGAAGTGCAGCATTAGCTTTAAGTACTGAGGTACTAACAGTAGGTGTATTCAATACAGGCTAAAGCTTAGGAAGAAAAAAACATTGTGTTTTTGATTTCCTGAGCAACCCTATAGCAAATATATAGGGATCCTGGAGACAGCCTTGGCCTAATATAACTCATATGACTCTAACAGTAATGTGTATGTGGTTCCCTGCAGTCTATATTCCACACTAATCCTTTTTTGTTCCTTGATCTTTCCAGCAAATTTCCCGGCGCTCGATGGGAAAGCTCGTGCTGGACAGTGTCAACAGCAGTGAGAAACCTCAACAAGGTAAGGATTTGGCAATTCTAAATAAGGTGGATCCATTTGCATAAAGTAAACATGTATCAGTTGATGTTCTTGTCTACAAAGGTATTAAAAATTAACACTGATCCTAATTATCAAGAAAGTTCATCTGTGTTGGTATTTACATGTTTAGAGCTAAAACTTAAAGATCCAACACAAAAAGTTCTCTCACCCAGAGCTTTCGACCAGTCACTCTGGTCTTCCTCAGTAGACTGACCCAGTGAGGCTTGTCACGTAGCTTCTTTGAAGTGTGACATCAACACTGGGTCAAAGGTATCTGGTAGACGATGTCGGCCCCTGTGGTTGAAAGCTCTAGGTGAGAGAACTTTTTTTGTGTTGGATCAAAAGTTTTAACTTTAAACTGATCTTAATATTGTTGCCAGTAGTACTAATTTTTTTCTGATCTTCCCTTACTTCCTTAGATGGAGAAGGAGTGAAGGAGTTCCTGTCTGCTCTGTATGAGAACCTGAAGCACTGTGACCTTCTGTTGTCTGGGCAGGACTGTCAACACAACACTTCCAACAACTTACTCGCTGTGTACGGATAAACAACAAGCAACTTCTAACAACCTACTGGCCGTATACGGAAAAAAATGTTAGAAAACATCACAAATGTAGATAGGGCCCAGTCACATACATTTTGCAATTGTCATACAAGCACAAACTGAGGGAATTCTTGTGATAGTCATGCTACCTTACATTATTGGCAGTTGACTGTGTCACAATGTTCTATGGCACCAAAATCTTGCAACAATTTAGTACAATGAATGTGGCGGTGCCATCAACATTTTTGTAGGAACAAAAACAACATAATGGCTTGTTCAAAGTTTTACCAGCAATGCTGGTTGGGTCCAATGTGAGTCACTTGACATGTATTAAGTCACTTTTCAGTAAGTGTGTTGAGCACCAGAGGTTAAATGTGTGAGAGGCCAAAGAAGGGAATGAGAAAGCATGAAAAAGAGGAGTTTTTGGAATGAAGAAAGGGACCTAAGAGCCCTGCTCTGTCTTCAAGAGCATGAGAATGACTTTGTTCAGGAGAAAATGTGGGTATACAGTCATGGTGGATAGAGTTAAGAAATGGGAGGCATTTTGTTGTCAAGGAATTGTACATTTAAATTTGTTAATGATCATGATGAAATGGAAGATAAGGATATTTGTTCCCAATATGTTTTAGCTCATTGTACATGAGTTAGGAAACTGGATGCCTGTCTGAAGATTTGGATGAAAGTTTGATACTCTGATACAGAATGAAGAAGATTGTACTTGTTTCTGATTGTGTTTTTATGTATTACATGAATGTGAGGAGATATGTTTGAACAGAAAGATGTGTTTGTTATGAAAGCTGATGTCTGAAATGTAAAGGAGGAAGTACATATGTATGTATGTGTATGATAAGTTTCCAGAGAACTTGAACGATGATGTAAGATGTAAAATTCATAACTTCCTGGTGAAGATGTGATGCCTTAGATTCAATCTTAGTGATCTGTACAGTTGGGAGGGGACTTGGAAAACTTGTGAAAATTCTGTCAGCTGATATTTTTGAGAATGAGAGTGTAATGTTAGAGTGAAAAAATGGAGAGGGCAGGGCCTATACATAACACACAGTTACATGTTGTCATGCCAAATAATGTGTATTATTACAAAATTCCACCATGCAGGTCACTTACTAGTTATCTGCTGAAAAAAGTCAAATTAGAGACCTCAAAAAAGAATGCAATACCACCCAGTATAACTTGCACTCCTATATATCCAGAACACTAGAAATCTCTCAAACATGCTGTTCAAAGTCGCAGATACAACCTGTATATGTAATCTGGTGAATAAATGTTAATAGGTTACATGTAGGAATCTGCCATTCTTTAATGGTGGTCGTATGCATACATACTACCAAGCAAAGAAATGTAACTATGTTTTTTTTTGTCAGCAAAGCTTTTAAACACACTTGTACAACACATCAATTAGGCATTTAGAACCCTCATGTCTAAGACTCTAATTAGCTAAGAAATATGATAGCTTCGTTAATGCCAGGCAAGTCTGTACTTAATTAAGGCACTGTACATATGATATTGAGCTGTGGAAAAGGATTTGTAATTGAGAAATCGATCAACGTTGGTCACGAAAAATGGAGAATATGTCAAAACATAGTTTTGTATTTATTTTTAGTAGCTACGTATTAAGCAATACTATTATCCATTATAGCAAATAACTAACCGAGTTACACCCATAACTTAACATTATTGTCGTTATTCAACAAGAAATATAAATACCTTGTACTAATATCTCTAAGAGTACTAACATCCAGTATATAATATACAGTCAAGTATTGAGACCTGGACTCTTCCAGCATTGAATATCGGTGACATTACAATGTAATTTCCTTCACTTATTCACAATTTGAAAGCAATGTTTACAATAAAGGCAAAAGATATCATGACATTGTGTGTCTACAGTTTCTTGGTGACCATGTTAATTGTTATACATGTAACGTTAGTGTAAGACAAATGCTTAATGTCAAAGATATTGCAAATCTTACCTTAAAAACTTACCGACAAGTTTTCGATTCTGTCGTCTGCTTTTTCCTCAAGTTGGAATGACCCGGGCCTTTGTCACGTGACCTGGGTCACAGCGTGGCGTCAGCATTTCATTTTTCATTTCTAAAATCGAAATGAAACTTTTTTTTACTTGGAAAATTTCGAATCTCGATAATTGTAGCAGTAGAAAAGAACTTCCAAAGCACAAACTTGGGTAAGATAATTATGCCCCCCCCCACAATTCAGCCGACCTAGCAGCTCCCCCATGCGCCCTAGACTATATTGCACCATTGAGTAATGTTACCCAAAATTTCAGATCCGCGAATTCACAACTCCCATAGTATTGACGTTGTCGCGTCAAGTATGGTTATCAAATGGCTGTCAGGTAGGAAATCAGAGTAGGAAATTGGACTAGAGATTTGTTACACTTTATGTGCTTTATGTGCTTTATGTGCTTTATTGAACTCCATTAGCGACACACAAGACATACAAAATCAAGTATGTAGCTAATCTTCCTGGAGTTAAAATACAATAATACAAATACACCACATCAAAATTACAACATTATTTACATACAACATTAGACTTAACATTTAAAAGTAACATCACATGTGCCTATCATCATGTGCCTATGTACGCATGTGCTCTAACAACTCCTTCCTAAACCTACTCTTAGTTGCTGCTTGTACCTCATGTGGCAAAGTGTTCCAAACTGTTAAGGATCTATAAATGAAAGTCTTCTTCAGGGCGTTCGTTTTGGGTTTCATTAAACAGTATGTGTTTCGGCTAGCATGACGTGTGTTGTGGCTGTGGTGGTAGGAGACAGGACATAACTGTTTGTAGAGTACTTCTGGTTGATGTGTAGCAATGACCCTCTGTAGCTGAGAGACAGTGTTT